CCATATTGAATAGCAATGAAGGAAGCAATGTGGTTGGAGGAACATTACTTCCAGATTCACCAGAGACAACCCACCCCTTTGGCTGTGAGAGATTGATTCCACCCTGCTACCTGCCTGGGACATTTCCACACAAATTGAATAGCGTTAGCAACCCAAGAATGTGTCAGCCAGGCCCAGGAGTTATGCTGCTATAGGCTCACACCATGCTATAAAAAGAAAATAAATTGTGCATCGCATCTCAGTATGTTACCCTCAGGCTACGGGTTATGCTATGGTGCAGCAAATCACACAGAGGGTCTAACTTGCCTGACTGCCATTGTTTCAATATGGTCAGTGCTATCTGGGATCTTTGGGAAGTCCCTACCCTAAACCCTAACCATTTCAATGGGGGGGCACTGCAGAAATACAGTGTTCACTCATTGTTCATGGGACCGTGCTCCCACCCATCCAGGACATCTACATGAAACTGTTCCTGAGGATGTCTCGCAGGATCATCAAGGACCCCACACACTAGCTGTTCGCTCACTCCCTTACCGTCGGGCAGACAGTATCGAAGCATAAGGCTCTGAGACCGTTTCTATCAACAAGCCATCAGACTGCTGAACACTTGAACTGGACTGACCACCTGCACTGAGTCGCCACACCTTAGCGCATACCTCTTATTTACTATTGCTAAATACTGCACAATTTAAACACATCCCCCCCCCCCCCTATTCTACTGAGCCATTTACTTTATTTTCAAATTCTTATATTTTATTATTGTTGTTGCATTGTCGAGAAATAATCTGCAAGTAAGCATTTTGTTTGACGGTGTATACCATGTGTATCCTGAACATACAACTAATAAAACATCTTCTAGTTTGGGGCTACACTGACTTGACACAGACAGGCTGCATCCCAATCCTCCTTTTCCCCAGTTTGTACTTGCACACTTCCCGTCACGGATTTAACAATGGTGGAAACTCCCTGCAGCCAACAATTACACCAATCAAATGCTTTTAGATCCATGACAGATGTGTGCAAGTGCAAAGCGGTGGAGAATCTGGACATACACACACACACACACACACACACTAGATAAACTGCTTTGCGTTTTATTACACAGACTAGCCAAAAAGAGTCTTGGCCATATACACTGAACAAAAATATAAACGCAACATGTAAAGTGTTGGTCCCATGTTTCATGAGCTGAAATAAAAGATCCCAGAAATGTTCCATACACACAAAAACCGTATTTCTCTCAAATGTTGTGCATGAATTTGTTTATATCCCATTGAGTGAGCATTTCTCGTCGGGAGCTTCATGAAATGGGTTTCCATGGCTGAGCAGCTGCACACAAGCCTAAGATCACCATGTGCAATGCCAAGTGTTGGCTGGAACTTGCTGCCATTGGACTCTGGAGCAGTGGAAACGCGTTCTCTGGAGTGATGAATCATGCTTCACCATCTGGCAGTCCGACGGATGAATCTGGGTTCGGCGGATGCCAGGAGAATGCTATCTGCCCCAATACATAGTGTCAACTGTAAAGTTTGGTGGAGGAGGAATAATGGTCTGGGGCTGTTTCCCAAGGTTCGGGCCAGGGCCCTCAGTTCCAGTGAAGGGAAATCTTAACGCTACAGCATACAATGACATTCTAGATGATTCTGTGCTTCCAACTTTGTGGCAACAGTTTGAGGAAGGCCCTTTCCTGTTTCAGCATCAAAATGTCCCCGTGCACAAAGCGAGGTCCATACAAAAATGGTTTGTCGAGATCGGTGTGGAAGAACTTGAATGGCCTGTACAGAGCCCTGACCTCAACCCCATCGAACACCTTTGGGATGAATTAGAACGCTGACTGCGAGCCAGGCCTAATCGCCCAACATCAGTGCATGACCTCACTAATACACATAGCTGAATGGAAGCAAGTCCCCGCAGAAATGTTTCAACATCTAGTGGAAAGCCTTCCCAGAAGAGTGGAGGCTGTTATAGCAGCAAAGGGGGGACCAACTCCATATTAATGCCCATGATTTTGGAATGAGATGTTCGATGAGCAGGTGTCCACATACACTACATGACCAAAAGTATCTGGGACTTTTTTTTTTTTACTCCTGAGTGGCGCAGTGGTCTAAGGCACTGCATCGCAGTGCTAACTGTGCCACTAGAGATCCTGGTTCGAATCCAGGCTCTGTCGCAGCCGGCCGCGACCGGGAGACTCATGGGCGGCGCACAATTGGTCCAGGGTAGGGGAGGGAATGGCCGGCAGGGATGTAGCTCAGTTGATAGAGCATGGCGTTTGCAATGCCAGGGTTGTGGGTTCGATTCCCACGGGGGGCCAGTATAAAAAAAAAAACATGTATTCACTAACTGTAAGTCGCTCTGGATAAGAGCGTCTGCTAAATGACTAAAATGTAAAAATGTATCTCAAGTTGAGGGAGCGTGTAATTGGCATGTTGACTGCAGGAATGTCCACCAGAGTTGCTGCCAGAGAACGGAATGTTCCCTTCTCTTTCTCGAGCCGCCTCCAACGTCATTTGAGAGAATTTGGCAGTATGTCCAACCGGCCTCACAACCCCAGACCACGCGTATGGCGTTGTGTGGGGCAAGCAGTTTGCTGATGTCAACGTTGTGAACAGAGTGCCCCATGGTGGCGTTGTGGTTATGGCATGGGCAGGCATAAGCTACAGACAATGAACACAATTGCATTTTATCTATGGAAATGAGAATGCACAGAGATACCGTGACAAGTTCCTGAGGCCCATTGTTGTGCCATACATCCTCCGCCATCACCTCATGTTTCAGTATCATAATGCACGGCCCCATATCGCAAGGACCTGTACACAATTCCTGGAAGCTGAAAATGTCCCTGTTCTTCCATGGCCTGCATACTAACCCGACATGTCACCTATTGAGCATGTTTCGGATGCTCTGGATTGATGTTTACGACAGCGTGTTCCAGTTCCCGCCAATATCCAGCAACTTCGCACAGTCATTGAAGAGGAGTGGGACAACATTCCACAGGCCACAATCAACAGCCTGATCAACTCTATGCAAAGGAGATGTGTTGCGCTGCATGAGGCAAATGGTGGTTACATCAGATACTGACTGCTTTTCTAAGACCAATAGGCATATCTGTATTCCCAGTCATGTGAAATCCATAGATTAGGGCCTAATGAATTCATTTCAATTGACTAATTTCCTTATATGAACTAACTCAGTAACATCTTTGAAATTGTTCCATTTATATTTCAGTATAGTTGTAGCTCATTAAACCATCAGATTTGGCTAGCCTACATTTTGGATTGTTAACCCTAGGCTTGGGGCCACAAAACAATACTGTTGTGCGTGTGTTAATGTCCCCCCATCTCCCATTGTACCGTTGTGTGCGTGTTTTAATTTCCCCATCTCCCATAGTAGCGTTGTGTTCGTGTTTTAATTTCCCCATCTCCCATAGTACCGTTGTGTGCGTGTGTTAATGTCCACCCATCTCCCATAGTAGCGTTGTGTGCGTGTGTTCATTCCCCCATCTCTTATTGTAGCTAATTTCCCAGGGAAGTAAATAAGGCAATAGTGATTAAATCAGTCTACAATCTGCATTTATCTGATTGATAAGCACATTATGAAGTCAATATACATACAATACAAAGCATCTGCAGGACAGTAAGTATAGTTGAAGGCACTTTTATTTTTGGGAGGAAGATTGTTGCACACATGCATTGAATTTAAAGCAACAAAAGAACATATCTTCCGCCGATCATTGACAACAATATGAATGTAAGAGAGTTAAAGGTAGTTACTCATGCTATGAAAAATAAAAATTGACTTCTTACAAGTGCCTACACATTTGACTTTGGGGAACAGTAAAAATGGCAAGTCAAAAGATGATGAATATCCATATAGTTAAATTAAAACATTGATTTAAAACGCACTTTATAAAACTAAAAGCAGCTAAGGGCAGTTTGACCAACTATTGACATACAGTAGTGCCCTAAATCAAATGTTGTATAAACACTCCATTTCCATCAACTGAAGTTGAACAGTCATTTTCAGTTCTTGTGTACTTTGTAAATGCAGGGGTGTATTCATTACGCCAATTCGAGCGTTCCTATTGGACAAATTCAGGTAGGTCCCTCGCCGTTTCGTTCGCTTCTTAAACGCTAAACGTTTTCCGTAACGAATACACCCCAGGTTGAAAGTCATACATCTTGGGCATGACAGCATGCATTTGCTCAGTCCTTGTATTCAGTGTACTTCTTAGCGGAGCCACGCACCTTGCTGGCAGGGTACTTCAGCCTATTTAGGGCCATTTTGCGCAGCACAGCTTGGGGTAAATCGATGTGACATTTCTCAGCCAGCTCAACTAGGTAGATGAGGACGTCGCTGAGTTCATGTGCCAGGTGGTCGCGCTCGGAGTCGGTCCAGCCGGGCAGTCCTTCGGTCACCTCGCCACGCCACTGGAACAGCTCCGATACCTCGCCCACCTCTCCGACCATAGCTAGCAGGAGGTTGCGGGGTTGGTGGAACTGGTTCCAGTCTCGCTCATCAGTAAATTCCGCTTGCATCCGTCGTATGTCTTCGATGGTGGGTTCGGCAGTGAAAGAGAATGTATCGTTTGGGATTCTTCTCTTAGTTCCATTTTGCTTGGGAGTGTGGATGTCTGTCTCGCCGTTTGCGCTGGCTATTTTTGACTTGCTGGTAGTGCCATTGGTGTGTTTAGTTTCAGATGGGGCCAACGTCTCGCCGTTCAGTCCATGCACTTCATCGCCGTTCATTGCCATCGCGTTGTCGATTTTACACAACTACTGCACGGATCAACACTTATTTCGCTGTAAACAACCAACCTTGACAACGATGTGGAAAACTCCCGCCACACAAACGCTGCTCTTGTAGCCGGAAGGTGTCACACAAATCGCCGGAAATTCGAAATATGCGTTATCTTAATTTGTTGCATTGTGGGGTTTTAAGTTTTCCTAAATGCACTTCCCTCGCATTTTGTATTAAACTTGGTTTACTATGACTACAACTACCATAATACCCTAAACAGTAGGGCTAAACATGGCAGGCTCCTCTGCAGGAATGACTGCATTGCTATGTAAAATGAATAAACAAATTGCAATATTTTATCCAACGATTACTTCTCACCAAAGGCACAGTTGGTGTGTGATAAGGAGAATATGTACGTCTGTCTCCCGATGTCAGAGTCAAGCCCAAACAAAAAGGTAGGTCGCACTGGTGTGCACTGTTTGTGTATCGTGTGCGCGCGCCTGTGCAAGTTAGCGAGGGTGAGAGTCGCACAGAATTCAGAACCATTCCCTTCCGTATTTAGACGTTAAAAACCTTGATGCGATTGATTTATAGCTGGTCGTCAGCATGATAGCCTCCTTTCCAAATATGTAAATATTGTCCTCCTTACCACTCTCTCTGCCTTCAGAGCATCCTCGCAGGTTGACTTGACAGATTTTGATTAGGTATGATGATGTCACTAAAGTTTTGCTGATATTCCGCATTCAAAAGAACTGGGAACTCATGACGTCAGTGATCTTTAGGTCGGAAAGTCGGAGCTCTAGAAAGAGGACCGAGTTTCCAAGTTGGATGACTGTTCAAATCGATTTTCCCAGTCGGAGTTCGTTTTTTTTCGAGTTCCCAGTTGTTTTGAACGCACTGAAGTCGGAGATTTCCGAGTTCCCTGTTATGAACGCGGCAATAAGTCCACCAACAGAACTGTCTAAAATGCTGTACTGTAATGAATGACCCACATCTAAACTCCAATAACAGACAACCCTGGCAGTTAGCTATTCATAAGTCCAGTCTATTAGTCAGTTCAGAAAATGAAATCGTGGTGTTGATATGGTGGCCTCCCATTTGTAAGTGTTAATTTCTCTGACTGTATATGTGTGGTTGTAGTGCTCCCCAGGAGTTGGTAGGTGTAGTGGGTCTGGAGATCCATGCTCAGATCCACTCCAACACCAAGCTGTTTTCTGGCTCCCAGGTCGGGTTCCAGGCTCCACCTAACTCCCTGGTGTCCTTCTTTGATGCCTCCTTACCTGGAACTCTACCAGTGAGTTATCGTGCATCTGATGATAAACATGTCTCGTGTCAATAAAGGCTGTTTGTCTATTCACTGCATAATAATACCGTTTTTGTCCATCATAACAAAAGCTGGTCTATGTAACCTAGCCTACAATATGTCGATCTACATAGTCATTTTACCAAGGAGGCCTATGTTCCTTTCCTCTTCCTCCTCAGGTGCTGAACAGACGATGTGTGGAGGCTGCAGTGATGACAGGCTTGGCCCTTAACTGTACCATCAACAGGAAGTCTCTCTTTGACAGGAAGCACTACTTCTACGCTGACCTTCCTGTAAGTCGACCCCGACCCCATCTATCCTCCAATCACAAGCAGTCGTCAATCACATTTATTTCTAAAGCCCTTTTTAGGCTACATCAGCAGTTCTTGAATACAGTAACCCAGCCTAAATCATAGAGGAGACAACTTACTCCCCCGTTAATAAGCAGCTCTCATCGGTCGAAGCAGCAGTCTCTCCCCAAAGTAACTATCCCATTTTACTTCCTCCCTGTCCTTGAGCTAGGCTATAATTGAATAATGATGAGTCTTGCTGAACCGGCAGAAAAACTTATTGCCACGATATCTAGGCAAATGACAGCTTCTGTTCCTGCAATCTGTTAGCCGTTAGGAGTCAAGTCACGGCCAAGTGATATTCACCCTCACCTTGCTGCCAGGCGCTCCTGGGTCATTTTAGTGCCGTTATGATTTACATTTTATAACTTTGGCATCAAGACAACATGTCATAGGAAGAGTCGAAGAGATTCAATAGCAATTGCCCTACAAAGCCTCCCAAAAAGTTGATGATCCCTAAAAAGTTTCATTTCACTTTGGAAAGCCCTATGTTAATGTGACCTATGTAGAAAGAAATTACCCAGACATTACTCTTGACGAGCAGATGATGAGAAATTGTCGACTGAGAAAAGGATGAATTTGAATAATTTAAGTGCCTTCGCGGTATTATTCCATAATGTGACTTTCCACTCTCAAGAAAATTACAAGACATCTAGGAGATTTGTCTGTTACAGTGCAATCCATACCTTTCCTGTATTAGATTAACTTTGTCCTAAGGTCATTTCTAATGACCAATAGAGTAGCTTGTGAGGGTTATTTTGGGGGGTCAGGGAATGGACTGTTGATCATCGGGTTGTTAGTGCAGTTGTCTTAATGTTATGGTATGTCAATATCCTTTAAATGAAGAAATGAACTAGATGACATGATGGTCTAAGTCATTCTAGTTGTTTTGAATGAAAGCATATTATCAACACAAGACCTGCCAAGCCTAGATTGTTAGAAGATTGTGTTGTCTTCTAACCCAACAGTCAGATTCATTGGAAATAATGTTATCTGGATGCTACAGCTGCATAATCCTTCCTCACAGCAGAGATAGATTATTTATTTCCGTAGCTCCGACTTGTATCCCAGTGGTGAAATCCCAGCAGGAAGCCGAAAGATTATTCCCAAATCCCACCTCGTCTTGTATCCCCGTTGTGGATTTTCAGTCCGCTTACGGAGTGTTGCATCACCTCTCTCTTTGGGTTATGTTAAAACATGCACTGTGGAAACGATAGGGCCAGTTAAGATTTACATTTTCACCATGCCCACAAGTGGTACCAACGTTTATAAATATGTTTTTGCTTTCCCAGTAGACAACACCTGTGTTTTACCAGGCCTGGGAAATAGACTGGGAATAGGGATTGAGAGTAAAAGGCCTGTATTGCATATTAAATCATGCTAATGCATTACCTTCAGTTGGGAGGGATGTTCATGCTCTCTTTATGATATCAATTATATAGAGAGAAAATAATAGCCATGATGACTGAAGCATTAAGCAGCACATTCTCTATTCAATTATTTTACTACCAGCCTAATAAAGTAGATAGAACTAAGACATAAAAAAAAACATGCATTTAATAAGAACACAGATATTCCAAAATTGAGTTGTTCATTATTGATGTTCCGTGAATCCACGATTTAATTTCACACAACGAACACACTGCTGCTTATTAAATGATTTATGATGTGCTTGCCAGACCAGCAGCAGGAATGAATTGAAGTGGCAGGCAGGTATAATGTTTTAACAGCTAACCTAGTCTTAAAAACATGCACCAGCAGCTTCACACTAAGCTACTAGCAGATATGCAGAATGATACTTTTCTTGAGTGTTTTCTGTGCAGACGTTATCCCTCACGACTATTTAATGACTCAAATGAATCTGTTTGTGAGACGTGGATATACAGTCGGTACTGTAGGCCTAGTTGAATCAAGGGTTGTAGAGGAGAATCGTTTGGTGCATTGAATCAGTTGAAGACAGCTTAGATTCAGTGAACTGAATCTGAATACGACTCAGTGCAGTGGCACATGCAGAAGTCTGTTTGGAGAGATAGTGTGTTTTATAGGCCTAGTTAGCTCTCAGGCTTAGATTTACTTTTCTGAACAGACTGAGTGCTTTAATACCAGACTGCTCATAAGGCTTTGGTGCTGTGGTGTGACTTGAAGAGCTTTAACAGTTTTTACCACCACTGGTCTGCATCCAACTTCAGCTGCCCCTCATTATACAAAGCACCAACACCCCTTGACTGATTATGCAGGAATTGCAAATGATCCACCATTTTGGTGGATGCTAAGCGTACTAATGTAGCCTATGTGGGAACAGAAATGCATACAGTATGCTAACTAGGAGGCACTTGAGCTAATGAACTACATTTGCATTGACACTGACAGAGCTCTATGAGAGAATTGATTCTAGAAAGGGAGAAATCAGCATATTTTAATGCTATAAACCTGTATTTATAGTACACCGCTGAGATAAAATGGAACGTCTCCCTGGGCCCGTTATGTTTGTGTTGTTAAAGTGATTGATTTGTTGATCAGGTACAATACAACACACATATGGTTATGGCTAATTACCTTTTTTCTCTCATACAGTGGGGGGAAAAAAGTATTTAGTCAGCCACCAATTGTGCAAGTTCTCCCACTTAAAAAGATGAGAGAGGCCTGTAATTTTCATCATAGGTACACGTCAACTATGACAGACAAATTTAGAAAAATGTTCTCCAGAAAATCACATTGTAGGATTTTTAATGAATTCATTTGCAAATTATGGTGAAAAATAAGTATTTGGTCACCTACAAACAAGCAAGATTTCTGACTCTCACAGACCTGTAACTTCTTCTTTAAGAGGCTCCTCTGTCCTCCACTCGTTACCTGTATTAATGGCACCTGTTTGAACTTGTTATCAGTATAAAAGACACCTGTCCACAACCTCAAACAGTCACACTCCAAACTCCACTATGGCCAAGACCAAAGAGCTGTCAAAGGACACCAGAAACAAAATTGTAGACCTGCACCAGGCTGGGAAGACTGAATCTGCAATAGGTAAGCAGCTTGGTTTGAAGAAATCAACTGTGGGAGCAATTATTAGGAAATGGAAGACATACAAGACCACTGATAATCTCCCTTGATCTGGGGCTCCACGCAAGATCTCTCCCCGTGGGGTCAAAATGATCACAAGAACGGTGAGCAAAAATCCCAGAACCACACGGGGGGACCTAGTGAATGACCTGCAGAGAGCTGGGACCAAAGTAACAAAGCCTACCATCAGTAACACACTACGCCGCCAGGGACTCAAATCCTGCAGTGCCAGACGTGTCCCCCTGCTTAAGCCAGTACATGTCCAGGCCCGTCTGAAGTTTGCTAGAGTGCATTTGGATGATCCAGAAGAGGATTGGGAGAATGTCATATGGTCAGATGAAACCAAAATATAACTTTTTGATAAAAACTCAACTCGTCGTGTTTGGAGGACAAAGAATGCTGAGTTGCATCCAAAGAACACCATACCTACTGTGAAGCATCGGGGTGGAAACATCATGCTTTGGGGCTGTTTTTCTGCAAAGGGACCAGGACGACTGATCCGTGTAAAGGAAAGAATGAATGGGGCCATGTATCGTGAGGTTTTGAGTGAAAACCTCCTTCCATCAGCAAGGGCATTGAAGATGAAACGTGGCTGGGTCTTTCAGCATGACAATGATCCCACACACCACCCGGGCAACGAAGGAGTCGCTTCGTAAGAAGCATTTCAAGGTCCTGGAGTGGCCTAGCCAGTCTCCAGATCTCAACCCCATAGAAAATCTTTGGAGGGAGTTGAAAGTCCGTGTTGCCCAGCGACAGCCCCAAAACATCACTGCTCTAGAGGAGATCTGCATGGAGGAATGGGCCAAAATACCAGCAACAGTGTGTGAAAACCTTGTGAAGACTTACAGAAAACGTTTGACCTGTGTCATTGCCAACAAAGGGTATATAACAAAGTATTGAGAAACTTTTGTTATTGACCAAATACTTATTTTCCACCATAATTTGCAAATAAATTCATAAAAAATCCTACAATGTGATTTTCTTGAAAAAATATTCTCATTTTGTCTGTCATAGGTGACGTGTACCTATGATGAAAATTACAGGCCTCTCTCATCTTTTTAAGTGGGAGAACTTGCACAATTGGTGGCTGACTAAATACTTTTTTCCCCCCACTGTATTTATTCCTTCCCTCTTCTTTTTCTTCGTCGGCATGCCAATAAGTATGATGAATGTTTCGTCTTTTCTAGCAGTGGTTGCCGTGGCAACGGGACATCGTGCTACCGTACTCACTTGTGGAATAGCGGCAGCCAGCACAGCTGCTCTTCAGAACAAAATAACAGATAAAATATTCATCCAGTTCGCTTTTGTGACTTTGAACCCCTCTCAACGAAACAACAATAATATTCCAACCGCATAATAATGAGTTGGAGTAACCAGCGTTTGGGGCCTACTATCCCCCAAAGTAACTAACGAATGGATGAATCTTAGCTCATGTTTAATGTATGGGATTGCTATTTTGTTCATAACACTCTTGACCCCTATAAATATTAAAGTTATTTCCAAGTTATTTCTAACGGTAAATCGTTGATTATGCAGGCCAAGTTTATTTTGGTATTAACCCCTTTTTCCTATAGTGTCTATAATATAAATGACTACATTTTATTATATAGTGGCTGTAATTAAATACCTAAGCCTGGTCCCAGATCTGTTTGCGAGGAGTCCTCTATAGGTAATAGTCGTTGTCATGCCAAATGTCAGGTTTATACAGCATAGGAGACCAGGCTATTACATACCTGATACATGAGACACATTTAGACTGCTGAAGCAAGCACACAAAATTGACCTTTTCTAGTTTAATGTGTTTCCTCCATCCAGGCAGGCTACCAGATCACCCAACAGAGGCTGCCCATCGCGGTGGACGGAACCCTGACCTACAGTCACCTGGGCGGCCGTAAGAGGAACACGGTGGTCACCAAGAGTGTCAGGATCAAACAGATCCAGCTGGAGCAGGACAGTGGCAAAAGCCTCCACGATGACTACAGGAGCCAGACCCTTATAGACCTCAACAGAGCAGGTAGATGGAGTTCATCTTCCCATCGGTATACCTCAACAACTATATACAGATCTAAATAGAACAGGGAGTGGCGAGTCAAACCCATGTAGACATATGGGGAGTGTAGGTAACTTCCCATCTCTCTCTCCCTCCAGGTGTGGGACTGATGGAGCTGGTGATGGAGCCAGACATGAGCTGTGGAGAGGAGGCAGCAGCAGCCGTCAGAGAGATCCAGCTCATACTGCAGGCTCTAGGGACCTGCCAGGGAAACATGGCTGGTGGGGAGGCCTGCATTGGGGACACAAACACTAACACACCAGGGAAACATGGCTGGTGGGGAGGCCTGCATTGGGGACACAAACACTAACACACCAGGAAAACATGGCTGGTGGGGAGGCCTGTATTGGGGACACAAACACTAACACACCAGGGAAACATGGCTGGTGGGGAGGCCTGTATTGGGGACACAAACACTAACACACCAGGGAAACATGGCTGGTGGGGAGGCCTGTATTGGGGACACAAACACTAACACACCAGGGAAACATGGCTGGTGGGGAGGCCTGCATTGGGGACACAAACACTAACACACCAGGGAAACATGGCTGGTGGGGAGGCCTGTATTGGGGACACAAACACTAACACACCAGGGAAACATGGCTGGTGGGGAGGCCTGTATTGGGGACACAAACACTAACACACCAGGGAAACATGGCTGGTGGGGAGGCCTGTATTGGGGACACAAACACTAACACACCAGGGAAACATGGCTGGTGGGGAGGCCTGCATTGGGGACACAAACACTAACACACCAGGGAAACATGGCTGGTGGGGAGGCCTGTATTGGGGACACAAACACTAACACACCAGGGAAACATGGCTGGTGGGGAGGCCTGTATTGGGGACACAAACACTAACACACCAGGGAAACATGGCTGGTGGGGAGGCCTGTATTGGGGACACAAACACTAACACACCAGGGAAACATGGCTGGTGGGGAGGCCTGTATTGGAGACACAAACACTAACACACCAGGGAAACATGGCTGGTGGGGAGGCCTGCATTGGGGACACAAACACTAACACACCAGGGAAACATGGCTGGTGGGGAGGCCTGTATTGGGGACACAAACACTAACACACCAGGGAAACATGGCTGGTGGGGAGGCCTGCATTGGGGACACAAACACTAACACACCAGGGAAACATGGTCAATACTGACATGTCTATTACAGACACACAAACCCAGACCATGATACTCCACCCCTTTGTCCTCATCTCTCTCACATCTCTCATTACTTCTCTCTGAATGTGTCTCATACCTACTCTCTTCCTATAGAGGGCCAGCTGTCTCATACCTTCTCTCTTCCTATAGAGGGCCAGCTGTCTCATGCCTTCTCTCTTCCTATAGAGGGCCAGCTGTCTCATACCTTCTCTCTTCCTATAGAGGGCCAGCTGTCTCATACCTTGTCTCTTCCTATAGAGGGCCAGCTGTCTCATACCTACTCTCTTTGTATAGAGGGCCAGCTGTCTCATACCTTCTCTCTTCCTATAGAGGGCCAGCTGTTTCATACCTTCTCTCTTCCTATAGAGGGCCAGCTGTCTCATACCTTCTCTCTTCCTATAGAGGACCAACTGTCTCATGCCTTCTCTCTTCCTATAGAGGGCCAGCTGTCTCATACCTTCTCTCTTCCTATAGAGGGCCAGCTGTCTCATACCTTGTCTCTTCCTATAGAGGGCCAGCTGTCTCATACCTACTCTCTTTGTATAGAGGGCCAGCTGTCTCATACCTTCTCTCTTCCTATAGAGGGCCAGCTGTTTCATACCTTCTCTCTTCCTATAGAGAGTCAGCTGTCTCATACCTTCTCTGTTCGTATAGAGGGCCAGCTGTCTCATACCTACTCTCTTCCTATAGAGGGCCAGCTGTCTCATACCTTCTCTCTTCCTATAGAAAGCCAGCTGTCTCATACCTACTCTCTTCATGTAGAGGGCCAGCTGTCTCATACCTTCTCTCTTCCTATAGAGAGTCAGCTGTCTCATACCCTCTCTGTTCGTATAGAGGGCCAGCTGTCTCATACCTTCTCTCTTCCTATAGAGGGCCAGCTGTCTCATACCTACTCTCTTCCTATAGAGAGTCAGCTGAGAGTTGATGAATGTGTTTCATACCTACTCTCTTCCTATAGATGGCCAGCTGTCTCATACCTACTCTCTGCCTATAGAGGGCCAGCTGTCTCATACCTTCGTTCTTCCTATAGAGGGCCAGCTGAGAGTGGATGCCAACGTGTCCGTCCACAGACCTGGGGATCCTTGGGGCATCAGGACTGAGGTCAAGAACATCAACAGTGCCCGCAACCTGGCCAGGGCCATAGGTGAGTGCTGTAGAGGGCTTTTCACAATACTGAGACAAACCAGCGAGGAAGAGGCGAAGCGAGAAGCTCCACTCGCGTCAATCTGTCCATGCGAGAATACAACGATTTAGTAGACCAAGTGGGGAGTTTTTTTGTATGGAGGTCTATGAGAGAGTGTCAAAACTGGTTTAAAAAATGGATTGCTAATTTGCTAAGTGAGGCTTATTTGATGTAATAGAAGCTGCATAATGTTTAGGTTGTTACGAATGTACGGATATACACTACATGACCAAAAGTATGTGGACACCTGCTCGTCGAACATCTCATTCCAAAATAATGGGTATTAATATGGAGTTGGTTCCCCCCTTTGCTGCTATAGGGTTGTGGGTTCGATAAAATAATGTATGCGCTAACTGTAAGTCGCTCTGGATAAGAGCGTCTGCTAAATGACTAAAATGGAACATTGCTGCAGGGACTTGCTTCCATTCAGCCACAAGCATTAGTGAGGTCATGCACTGATATTGGGCGATTAGGCCTGACTCGCAGTCGGCGTTCCAATTCATCCCAAAGTGTTTGATGGGGTTGAGGTCAGGGCTCTGTGCAGGCCAGTCAAGTTCTTCCACACCGATCTCGACAAACCATTTCTGTATTAACCTCACTTTGTGCATGGGGGCATTGTCATGCTGTAACAGGAAAGGGCCTTCCCCAAACTGTTGGCACAAAAGTGGAAGCACAGAATCGTCTAGAAGCGTTAAGATTTCCCTTCACTGGAACCAAGGGGCCTAGCCCGAACCATGAAAAACGGCCCCAGACCATTATTCCTCTTCCACCTAACTTTACAGTTGGCACTCTGCATTGGGGCAGGTAGCGTTCTCCTGGCATCCTCCAAACCCAGATTCATCTGTCCAGAGATCGCGTTTCCACTTCTCCAGAGTCCAATGGTGGTGAGCTTTACTCCAGCCGACACTTGGCATTGCGCATGGTGATCTTAGGCTTGTGTGCGGCTGCTCGGCCATGGAAACCCATTTCATGAAGCTCCTGACAAACAGTTATTGTGCTGACTTTGCTTCCAGTGGCAGTTTGGAACTCTGTAGTGAGTGTTGCAATCGAGGACAGATGATTTCTACGCGCTACAGCACTCTGTGAGCTTGTTTTGCCTAACACTTTGTGGCTGAGCCGTTGTTGCTCCTAGACATTTCCACTTCACAATAACAGCACTTACAGTTGACCGGGGTAACTCTAGCAGGGCAGAAATTTGACAAACTGACTTGTTGGAAATATGGCATCCTATGACAGTGCCACATTGAAAGTCACTCTTCAGTAAGGCAATTCTACTGCCAATGTTTGTCTATGGAGATTGCATGGCAGTGTGCTCGATTTTATACACCTGTCAGCAACGGGTGTGGCTTAAATAGCTGAATCCACTAATTTGAAGGGATGTCCACATACTTTTATATATTAATATACACTGGGAACACTTTAGGGAACACTTAAACAACACAATGTAACTCCAAGTCAATCACACTTCTGTGAAATCAAACTGTCCACTTAGGAAGCAACACTGATTGACAATACATTTCACATGCTGTTGTGCAAATGGAATAGACAACAGGTGGAAATTATAGGCAATTAGCAAGACACCCCCAATAAAGAAGTGGTTCTGCAGGTGGTGACCACAGACCACTTCTCAGTTCCTATGCTTCCTGGCTGATGTTTTGGTCACTTTTGAATGCTGGCGGTGCTTTCACTCTAGTGGTAGCATGAGACGGAGTCTACAACCCACACAAGTGGCTCAGGGAGTACAACTCATCCAGGATGGCACATCAATGCGAGCTGTGGCAAGAAGGTTTGCTGTGTCTGTCAGCGTAGTGTCCAGAGCATGGAGGCGCTACCAGGAGACAGGCCAGTACATCAGGAGACGTGGAGGAGGCCGTAGGTGGGCAACAACCCAGCAGCAGGACCGCTACCTCCGCCTTTGTGCAAGGAGGAGCAGGAGGAGCACTGCCAGAGCCCTGCAAAATGACCTCCAGCAGGCCACAAATGTGCATGTGTCTGCTCAAACGGTCAGAAACAGACTCCATGAGGGTGGTATGAGGGCCCGACGTCCACAGGTGGGGGTTGTGCTTACAGTCCAACACCGTGCAGGACGTTTGGCATTTGCCAGACAACACCAAGATTGGCAAATTTGCCACTGGCGCCCTGTGCTCTTCACAGATGAAAGCAGGTTCACACTGAGCACATGTGACAGACGTGACAGAGTCTGGAGATGCCGTGGAGAACGTTCTGCTGCCTGCAACATCCTCCAGCATGACCGGTTTGGCGGTGGGTCAGTCATGGTGTGGGGTGGCATTTCTTTGGGGGGCCGCACAGCCCTCCATGTGCTCGCCAGAGGTACCCTGACTGCCATTAGTTACCGAGATGAGGTCCTCAGACCCCTTGTGAAACCATATGCTGGTGCGGTTGGCCCTGGGTTCCTCCTAATGCAAGACAATGCTAGGCCTCATGTGGCTGGAGTGTGTCAGCAGTTCCTGCAAGAGGAAGGCATTGATGCTATGGACTGGCCCGCCCGTTCCCCAGACCTGAATCCAATTGAGCACATCTGGGACATCATGTCTCGCGAGCTCCATCCACCAACGCCACGTTGCACCACAGACTGTCCAGGAGTTGGCGGATGCTTTAGTCCAGGTCTGGGAGGAGATCCCTCAAGAGACCATCCGCCACCTCATCAGGAGCATGCCCAGGCGTTGTAGGGAGGTCATACAGGCACGTGGAGGCCACACACACTACTGAGCCTCATTTTGACTTGTTTTAAGGACATTACATCAAAGTTGGATCAGCCTGTAGTGTGGTTTTCCACTTTAATTTTGAGGGTGACTCCAAATCCAGACCTCCATGGGTTGATACATTTGATTTCCATTGATACTTTTTGTGTGATGTTGTTGTCAGCACATTCAACTATGTAAAGAAAAAAGTATTTAATAAGATTATTTAATCCTTTCAGATCTAGGATGTGTTGTTTAAGTGTTCCCTTTATTTTTTTTAGCAGTATATATATATATATATGTATGTATGTATGTATGTATATATATATATATATATACATATATATATGTATGTATGTATATATATATATATATACATATATATATGTATGTATGTGTGTATATATATATGTATGCATGTGTATATGTGTGTGTATATATAATATATATATTATATATAATATATATATATATATATATATATATTATATATATATATATACCATACATACATATAATATATATATATATACTATACACATATACACATACATACATATATTATATATATACACATATACACATATACACTACATACATATTATATATATATATATATACATATATATATGTATGTATGTGGTATATATATGTGTATATATATATATGTATGTATGTGTATATGTGTGTGTATATATATATATATATCTATATATATATATTATATGTATGTATGTATGTGTATATATATATATGTATATATATATGTATATATATATACTATATATATGTATATATATGTGTTATATATATATATATATATATGTATTGTATATTGTTATTTACTTTAGTTTATCTTTATATCTCTTATATCTTGTATTTGTTTTGTTGTCTGTGTATCTTTTTCTCTCTATTCTATTTGTATGTTGTTCTTCTTTTTGTTCTATCTCTGTTCTCTATCTCTTCTACTATCTCTCTTTGTTGTCTGTTGTGTACTCTTTCTGTTATTCTCTGTCTTATGTGTATATTATATATTATATATATATATTGTATGTATGTGTAAGTGGACACACGTGGCATCTCAGCAACTTTGAGAAAAACTATTTTATATCGGAGCTGTCTATTGTTCACACGTGTACCTGCCCTCTCATTGGCTAGAATGTTCTCACCTAATCTTGCCTCCTCCCGCCTGCCTTTCCACCTTTGCGACAACGACTCCCATTGTTAAGGCAGAGACCATCTCGTCATTATATAGACGATATTATAGAGTATCTCTGGCCAAACTGAGCCGAGCCAAACCACGCTGTACTGAGCTGGCCTGGTTAGGCCTTCACCATAGTTGCTGGAACCGTGCTGAAAAGGACAACGTGAATAGACCGTATCTGAGCCAGCGCAGTTTGGTTCAGGTTGGCGCAATAGTGTGAGAAGGCTTCCTTTTCCTCTAAAAGGAAGTAGGTTGTTTTATGGATCGATATCCTCATTGCCATTGGTGGGGGTTAGTGGAGGTACTGAAGTGAAGCGGTCACATCCCAGTGGGTCTGGAATGAGCTGGTTGGATGAGCATTCTGGGAAATATAGACACACACACACAGACAGAAAAAGAGCAAACAGCATGGAATCCTTTTCATGGGCTGTCATCTTTCTGAAACAGCCGTCTGACGGAGGGCTGTGTAATTATGCGTGCACTGCAAGTCAAACTGGGAGTCAAAGATTAGAGACACCATGAGGCATAAACACACACACACACAGAGAAATGAGGCTCACGCACACACACACACACACAACTGGTCTTATCTGTCTTCGCCTGTGTGAATGTTCTCTCAGGCAACTCAGTGAAGTAACTGCCAAAACTTCCTCTTGTCTCAACTTCAAACATCTTTCCATGATTTGTTCTTTCTGAGTTGTTTTATCCCTGAAGGTAGTCGTCACTCTCTCTGCCTACATGAATCAGAGAAACAGGCTTTCTGTTGACAGGAACTGAAGATGGAAAGGTTTCTGAAGAGATGTTTCGTGTAGAGGGATAGTTAATATTGACTAGAAAGCATGAGGTATAGGCTTTTCCTACCCACACAAACTCAGGAGGATATAGAATACAACTTTATTGCCCATTTGTTTCAGTGAACAACTGAGCACACATAGCCAGCATGCCTAACTGAGGCTAAATTGGCTTTCTACCGATATTTATACAAGAACAGTAGATTTCCCATCAACACTAATTCCACTTCTACAGA